CCGCACCTTCTAAATTTAAATTTCCAGCCTGCCAAGGCTACGGCCGCATCTGTCCCACCGATGAGCTGGAATTCTGAAAAGTCTATGCCGCTGCCTTCTCCATCCACAGCCACAAACCGATCGGATGAGCAACCCACTACTTCCGTCCGAGAAAGCCAGCTGGACTGGCGAGAAGCGCCTGGCCTCGAGCACTCGGATGTACAGAAAGCCTCCCTTCGGCCTGCATGGCTGTAGAACTTAAAACACACCCGGGGACCGGGGAGGGAATATGTACCTAGCGCTTCCAAAGGGTGCCCAATGGAGATCCCTAGGTAGTGTAGGGGCTTCCATTGGTGACCCCTTTGAAGGTGCTGGTTTTGGGGATTGGATGGACGCGCCACGGCCTATTGGCATACTGTTGGCATACTGTTTGCTTTGGGATGGACGAGTTGTTCACACACAAAGGAAAGTTTGAAACTACTCTAAGCAGGGATTTCGTGACAATGGACCTAATGGAACATGAACCTTTGGCTGGTGTCACGGCTTACTGGTTACTGTCGATGCCTCCCAAATACAAATTGTATATAGCTGAGCAGGTTAAAAAATCAACAACTGCATTGACATGCATTGACAGGGTTATATGGCTTTTGACACGGGTGCATTGCTTTTCCAGATTTCACTACGCTTTTAATCTCTCACAACTGTCCTATACTAAATTGATCTATCATCACTGGTTGCTCAAATGGGATAGCTTATGACATTGAAACCGCACCCATGACTGCTTGACTGATTGGTGACGACAATCTTCACAGCTGCTTTCTGTTCTTCGTCTTGTTTTTCGTCTTAACATGTCTTACCATATGTTTCCCTAGGGCTCCAACGATATCCTCAGAAGGTGGTTAGACCCCCCAAAACCCACCCCAACCATCTTCGAAACGGAGGTGGTTGGAGCCCTAGGGTTTGTTCCACCAACCTGCAACAACTCCGCCACTCAACGACTCCACAACTCGGTCGTGTTCTGCGCACCCACTGCCACCCATGGGCTGAACGCCCAGAACTCCGACCTCAGCCACGGGTGTTTTTCAGAGGTCTCTGGGTGGTCCCGGTGGTCCATCAACCGGTGGAGTCCATTGAGTGAACGCAAAAGACCCGGAGTGAACGCAGGCCTTTCTGGAAAAGGCTTGCCTGGTCCATAGAAATTCGTTCGCTAATACGTCTTGTGCGGGTTGTTTCTTATTATCTGGATTGTCTGATTCGATCATCTTCTTCATCTCAGAAAAAGGGTTGTTCGTGGATCGGCTCGGCAACTCATCGCGCCTTCTTCGAGGATGAAGCAGGTCTGGTAAAGCCATCTCGTTATATAATATATATATATATAAGTTGACCTGTTTGCTTCAAGGAATTCATTCAAACCGGATTTTGGAGGGCATTTCAAGGAGTTTCCTCCCACATCTCTCTTGGCTTCCTGGCGAACGCTGCCGCCTCACACACGCTTTTCATGGGCGACCCCGAAAACTCTGAGACTGAATCTCTCATACTCCGGACATTTAGATATCATTACACACAGCGTCCACACACACACACATGGCTGTGGGGGGTTTGGGGTCTCATCTCATCTCATCCCTAAGAACGCCCGATCTTGCGTTCAAGCTTTGCCACTTATCTGCTGCTTGCTATCCTTGCTTTGGTAAGAGCGGGTACAAGAAGGATTGTGAAACTGACGACGACAACAACAACAGCAACCACAACGACAACGAGAACAACAACAACAACAAAATGGTTCCAACCCGGTTGGCCAAACTGATCGAAGGTAGTAAGGTCTGTAGCAAGATTGGGTAACCCGCCCAAAAAAGCGGGCCATGTGCGTGCCCAGCTAGCAAAGGGCCGTGGTCTGCAGGATAGAAACGAAACGTGGCGAGGGATATGATATTAACAATATCACATGACAGTGATAGGGCATCCGTTAAAGACTTAGGTACAGGGCACTTGGTTAATGTTAGTATGTGTTCGTGCTATTTCGTGCTATCAACTGATCTTCACACAAACCAACCGCGAATACGTGCCCCAAGATTCTGGCTAAATCAACAGGATAATCAGAATATGGCAATTTTATGCAATTGTTGTAATTCTTCTCATGTCCAACCGTCAATCCCTGCATTGATAGGTATACGGCATATGCCGCAAATCAGGCAAATTGAGGAGGATATTATGAACCATAGTCCAGGGCGGGATATTATAGTGTAAAACATGTTGAATTGTTTCGGACCAAAATTCGGAATCTTCTTCCTCTTGACTCGCCCGACCACGGGGGATGTGATAGGCAAACGTATCTTGGCGAAGTGTGGTGCTGTGCGATGCCTTCACCATCAAGACCCAGTGTGAAAGTGGTGAATGGATAAGCAGGAGCGTGTTTCCTTGTCTGCACAAAGTGGCAGCTGCAATGTTGACGGGTGCATCCAAAAAACAAAACACCGTGTTATTTGCCTTTGATGGTTTTGTAAATCAAAGATCAGGAAACCCCATATTTATATTTTATATTTTTTATGTTTCCGTGCAATGATGTCGACGTGCCCTTTCCTGTCGGACAGGTCATATCTGCATCAACTTATCATAAATTATCTGGACCAAATTCTAAGGTATCAAAATCAGGAAGATTTGGAGCTAACTCTGGTATAAACTCAAGCGCCAACATCCTATTATATCGACCATTAGACCGGTCACCAAAATAGCTGGGTTTTCATGGAGGCGCATATATACGTAACCGAATCTAACCTCCACACATGCCTCAACAGCAACCATATCATTGCGTCAAGCACCCCGTGGTTATGGTTCGAAGACTTCGAAAGAACAGTGGACCCCCGTGACCTGCGATCGTGGTAAGCTGACCCACCCCCGTTTCACGGCTCCATAGCCATTTCTTGATCGAAGGAACATGGACAGCCTGCCAATTGGATCCAATTAGTGAGCTCTTTAAAGATTCCTTCAACACCAAAGCTCTAGAGCAATACATGAAGGTTCCCGGGATGCTCAAAGCCAGCTGTTTCCGCGAGGGAGCACGCAAAAGCAATTTTTTGGCTTGGGGACATGATTTATGTATGTATGTATGTATGTATATATATATTATCTTATCTTATAGTTGTTTGTCAACTTTCTTTCCCTCTTCTCTTCCCTGGCGACAAACATTCCACCATCAAATGGTTTGGTCCAAATAAATCCTCCTCACCAAACCTCCGGTTTTTCCGCCTCTGCCTGGAGCTCGAGGCTCGAAACTGCCGCAGGGTGGGATAGCTCGGTCGGACAGCGGAACGGTCGGCAGGCTGGGAATTGCTACCTGTGAAGTGATTCGACCAAAAAAACAGTCTTGCAAGTGGAGGCCAGGCCAACCCAAGTTGTTTTCGAAGTAAGTTTCAGCACAATTCAGTAACTTTAACACACTTTAACCATGCAGTGAGCAAATCCATGGGCTGTCCCTGCGAAGAAGGCTGTGGAACCGACTCCCCCTTTCCTTTTCGGCCAAAGGAACCACATTTTCTATGAGCCCTTTTCCTGTGACTTGGTCAGCATGTTCGTGCCCTTACTTATTATGCTTCCCTTTACCTATGGGTTCTTCACTGCAAGGTACTGCAAGGTATCCCCTTAAAAAAAAGAAGAACCAAGAGAACATATTAGGCCATCTATGATCACCAGTGATCCACTTCGCTGCTCTGCGGCCACTCGCAATGGTGGCGGTGGCCCAAACCACCCGCCGCGCCATGATCCACCCGCCTTCCGTGGCCATGTCACTTTGTGAAACCACCTGAGCGGTTCGTCACAGCCGACGGCTCCAAGCCAGGTTCTCCAATTGGAGACAAATGTTAGCTTGCCAGGTCGTGCCAAGGTTTTCCTCGCTTTGGGAAATGGTGAAAACCATCTCTGTGTGCTTTGTTCCGGACTGATCAGGCTTTTCGATGTTTCTTGAGGTATTTCTGTGGTCAAGCTGAAGATTTGGCTGTGACCCAGACTAGGCGAGGATAGTTTTCAGCGTCCATCTGATGGCAAACATGGTAAGTACCGGCAAATACCGGCCAGCCAAAAGCTTTGTCTTGGCCAAGCACTGTCCAAGCACCATCGCCATCAAGGGGGTGCACCATGGAATATACAGGCAATGTGGCAAGTCTTGTGTGACTTAGCACTGAACTCCATGAATGAAGCCGGGCCATGTTGAAAAGACTTAGGGAGGGCTTTCCCAGTCACTAACTTTGTAATTAATCATGTATGCCACGGAAAGATACCAATGTCTTGGCTTCTCTCTAAGAGTTCTAAACGAATCTGACTGAAACAAAACACGTCTTGCTCCTGAAAACGCTTCCCATAGGAAGCGGTCCATGTGATGCCTTGAACCGGACATGGGGTGCTTGGAATGAGAAAAACACAACTTTGGGTGATGTCAAGGGATTTCAAGATGCATCCTTGTAGGAACATGGATTCGCTAATCGCTCGAGTCGCATGGGCGATTCCAAGTTCCTTCAGCAAACAAGGATCATGCTGTATCACTCTCCAATCCATACGAGAAAAGCATACATCTGCTCCAACAATTTCCAACTTACGGGACAGGGGAAGCAGCTAGCAAACGGCAGCAAAGTAAAAACAACCAAGAAATACCGAGGATTAAAACACAACCCTTTGTTCCTAGTAGCACTCTTGTTACTCGTCGTGAAGCCAGGAGTGCCCCGTTCGTAGCCCTCCGTTCGTAGCGGCTGCCCTTTGCTCCTTCTTCCCAAAAAAAGAGAGTGAAGATCGCAGGGTGAGCCCCATGTTCAAACGTGGCGTGGCTGCCGAAGTGGCTGTGTGAGGCGCAGGACTGAGGGCCAGTGGAAGTGCAACATGCAAACACACGACCTCGTCAGTGGCGTCGACTCGTAAGTGCTGGTGGAACCTCCAAAGCCTGTAAAACACCCAGCACTCATGCGTTTGAGATGAGTTCGGTGTGGAAACCCTCTTAAGTGTGCGCCACTTGTGCAAACCTCTTGCACCAATTTTTTCACGAGCTCAGCTCTCCATCGCAGCCTCGAAAACACGGAGGTGAAGCGGAACAGTTTTCACACGGCGTGATGCGTGGGGAAAAACACAAAAGACCTGTACAAGTTCAGAAATCAATATATAAAGCAATTGATTTGGCTGACTGGGATTTTGCATCTTTAAACCTGGGCTGGGTCTAGTACACTCCAATCCAGAAAAAGCAGGCATGCAGGGTAGGCCCCCGTGAGGGTAGCCCGGCGGCGTTTGTTCGTTCAGATTTGCCTGTCCATGCGATCGCCCGGCCTCTGCTATGTCCTGCCACGCGCGAAAGAAGCCACAGTGGGCATTGCCCGCATCCTGCCGGGCATTCGGGTGGTTGATCGAAAAAGGCCCATGGGCGACGAGACGCAAGCTTCTTGCCTTTTCCTTGCCCTATCAACCTCATGCTGGCTGTTCTAATAGTTCTTGACCACAGACACTGGTACATCCGACTCTTCCCTCATGGAGAAATCATCCTGTTCTGCATGTCCGATGTCTGGAAGTGTGGACATGTTCCACAAAGCAGTCTTCCAGATCTGCAAGATACCTTTTGGCCACAACAATCAGCTCAAGTAACCCCAGATCTTGGTCGTAGCTCCAGTGGTGTCCACAAATCGTGTAGAACTGAAGGCGTGTCCCTTTCAATCCACTGTTTCCTCTCCTCTCCTCTCCTCTCCAGTCTCGGAGGGTCGCCCCCGCCTGGTCACCAGCGCTGGTGTAGAAACATCTCAAGGAGTCAAAGTGCATCTCCAGGCCTTGGTCATACCATGTCATACCAATCGTTAGTCTCTTCACACATCGTCACACAGGCCAGGCCGTGCTACGGGTAATGATCAACCATGTGGGTTTTGGTGGAGTGTCAAAGGAACATCAATTAGACTCAGGCGTGACTAGACATTCGTGTCATATGCTCTTGTGACAAAACCTGATCCAAAGAAAACATAGCATAACCAAATACTTTGTGCAACTGCAAAGGAAGGAAGGACCTTAATTACCATCCAAATGCTCCAATTCAGTCTTTCTCTTACAGTACAATAACAGGTACTAGTTTTCATTGGCAATCTTGAATGCTATTGATTCGTTCGTTCACGTAAGAACACAGTGACAGGACTTCCTTCAGGGTCTTCGTCCATTCCCAGCTTCTGACTGATGGGCAGGCCTTCAGCGTAGTGCCTCAGCCGCACTGGTGTTTGAGTGATGAAACATAGACCAAGCTGACCTGAGATGAAAAAGATGCTGTGTTCATCGAGCTGGTGCTTCTATTGGTGACGGTTCGAAAGCAATGATGGGTCATTATTCCACTTCAAACCGATATGGTGGTACACGGAATGAATCAAAACGCCACATCTCCGTAGCAGCGTAGCAAAACGTGACAAAGCTCATCAAAGTTCTACAAAACCGCAGAACGGATCATCGGCTATACCTACATTCATCCAAAATTCTTGACACCACCCGTCACCGTCCCCGTCACAGCATGGCCACCTTCGAAGCACAGAGAAGCCAATTGCCTCAAAAATTGCGAGTTGAACCCAACCAACTCTCAACGCTATATGTTTTCCCCTCCCAAACTTGGTCCTTTCCAACTTGCAAGCATTTGTTTTCTTCACAAAATCGACTGAACAGTTTCGCTCCCAATTCTCGCTGGCCAAATCGAGCAAGACATATCAACCGATCTTACTTGAAGAATGACCATGCTGCCATGATGGTCAATTCTAACTCCAGATTTATGATGATTTGCATGGGTTCAAGGATGTCACCTTATGAATGTCGAACAGAATCAATGAACTTATGAAGGACGTTGTCTAGGCTGATATCGATCCAATGAATAAGTCGTTTCCAAAGAGGCGCCTTGCAGCGTTCCTCGAACTCATTGTGCTCTTTCGCAACGAAGGGCCGGCCTGGGTCCTGAGAGGAGAATGCTCCCAAAGTAAATCGAGCGGTTGCAGAACGGTTTCCAAATGTTCCCTGTGCCACCTTTCCAAGCCTTGTTGCAACCTGTTGGGCCTGTTGAGTAAACGGGGGGTGGAAAGCCTTGCATTTTACAGTGCTTTTTGCGTTTCGGGCTTGTGGGATTGTTGTCTCGGATTCATGAACTCCAAGACGGTTACGGTCTGCTATGTAGCCTCTTACATTCATACCATCAGGCCTCACCAGCAACATGCACTCCTTTTTGTGGTCAGTCGTCGGCCCACTCCAGCCAGCCATGACAGGTCACGGTACCTTTGACCTGGCATTGCCTCTGGATGCTTTTTCACCGCTTCAAGCATTGAGTCCAAGCAATGCCGAGAGGCCATTTACGTGCTCTCTTTGCAATTTCACATCGCAACGACCGAGCTTCCCCATTCTGCGCAACGATTTCGTTGGAAACAACATCTGAAGCGTTGAGAAGAGCTTGTTCCATCCACAAAGGAAACGTGTCGAGTAACGCGAGTTGAAACAAGAAGGCATCTGGCCGACAAGAGCAAAGCAGCAAGTCGGGAAGGTTGCCTTCACGGGCTGAACCCCCCGGTTGACCCAACATGTTGCAACGGTGACAGCCAAACGTTTTGTGGCTTCGAGACCGATGGCCACGGGTTGGCCGAGAAAACGAACCTTAACAGGTGGGTGAAACATGGTGTGTGTCCATGTGTGTCCTGTTTGAATAGGTGTCATCTTACAAAGGCAATCCCTTTGTGCATTTCTATTGGACTTACTCCAGTGACAGTATCAGTATACGTATGTTGCTATCTTTGCCACTTCTTTTTCATGCCTATATGTTCTAAGACACGTGCCTGGACTGTCTGCTTCATTTACTACTACAACGAAAGACTGCTGCAAAGGCTTCTTCACATCCTGAGCAAATAAGGTGGGGCATCAGTTTGCCAACGTTGGTTCAATTCTGCACTCATGACACATCCTGCTCTGCCAATTTACTTGCTCGCCGCGGGAAAAGGGCGCAGGGTAATTTATTCCGATTTCATATCCCAGCAACTCAGGCAAAGCTGCTAAACAAAACACTTCTACCTGCCGCCTCGATCCGCCTGGACCATTTTGATACCCAATCAGTAAAAGATATAAAGCCTTGATAAGTCTTGAACGCCCTGTCTCAATTCTTCTTCTAAGAGCAAACGCGGTCAGAATCTTGGCAGTTGTCACACAAACCCATGCTTGCTGCATCCATCTCGCCGGCGGCTGCAGGTTTTGGAAGACAACCACCAAGGCGCGAGCCGATTCCGCCGTTTCCTGCTTCTGAGCCCACTTCATCGTAGTCGAATTCGTCATGGATGACATCTCTCGCTCCATGATCACGCCCTGTCTGCTCTTTGGTCTCTGTGGCGGAATGGCAAGCTGTTGTGCTTGCCGCATTTTCTCATCACCTGCAACTGGAGAGCACGCAGTGTGTCACTGGGTTCCACCGTCGACTGGCATTGCAAGAAGCAAAAGGAGAACCTCCGCCAGCAGATGGCAAAGGGATGCAAAGGGTTCTTTGGGGGTTCATCTTTGTGTTCGCCTTTTGAACAAATGTGTTCAAAGGTACGTGAGACTCCTGGAAGATTCACTGTCACTCGTCTCAATGTCAGCCGAAGACTCCGAAGGTCTCGCTCCAGGTCGCTCCTTAAGGGTATCCCATCTTCATCCCGTTGTTCGAGCTTTATCCGGTGGTTCTGCTCCATTCCAAGCGGTCCTGTGATCCAGAAAAACACACCTTTCATTGCCTTTCATCCTGAAAGGTTGTTTGAGGGTGTGAAACCAGCCATTTTGAGGTCCACAAGACGAAACATTTACTGGATTGGCCTGAAGGTCGATGTAAAATCCTTCTTACGGCAATTCTTCGTGCAACACATCTTTACTTTCGCAAATCTGTCGCGAGCTCGATGCTTAACTTTCGCGGGGTAGTCTCCTTGGTTTGGTTGTGATCCACATACTTATCGTTCCAAGTTCTTTTGTAAACAAAATTGTTGCTTTCGCGCACTCGAAAAAATTAGTGAACAACATAGAAGGCTCTCAATGAACCCAGGCCTTATGTCGACCTTATGATACCATTTGTGGGTTCCTAAAGCCTGCCCAAACCCACCAGCTCTATACTGGGGGGTCCAACCAGTGCCTCGCACAGAAGGGCAGCATGCCCACATCCCACATCCCATATTGGGAACTCATCTCAAGCAAGGTGTGACGCTAGATTCAACTTAGCACACGTAGCAGGGCTCAGGCCCATGGATGTAATTTGCTGTCCAAAGGAAAAAAGCCGCCACTGATCCTGTAGTCTCTGGATACTTGATTGAATCACCACAGGCGTACGATCAAAAACTCAATTTTGGAGGCCTCCAGGGTTTCTGCAGGGGTTTATCCTCAACGCCCTCAACCCCTCCACTTCACTAAGAAATGTTGGAATGCAATTGGCCGTAATTCAGTGGCAACCGCCGAGAGTTGAGGGTACCACTGTTTAGGCCGTCATCATTGTACTAAGGCAGAGGGCTCGAAGAGATGTGCTGTATGTGTGCACTACGCGCCCTAGTTTTAGAGCTCAATGATGTATCGCCTAAAGCCAACCCCTTGAAACTACAGTCCTCCAGTTGACGGGGAGTGCAGTGAAGCCAAATCTCAAAGCTGCTGGGCACCTCAGGTGAAAGCTTCGACGGACCTGGGGACCTGGAATCTGAATCAAGCGTGGCATCAAGCGTGGCACTTTGACAGTTTTATACATGCTCTTATTGTGGTGACCTTGAACAACAGGGAGCCACCATAGGACTTCTGAGACAGGGATATCACGTGGAACATGTGTTGCTGCCTCAGCTGGTGCCTCCCAAGCAAAAGCTGCTCAAATGCACCCTAACGATCCCCAAAGAATCTGTCTTGCTGCTGAAGAGCTGCGACCTGATACTCTATGCTCAAAAAAGGATGCTTATTGCATAAAAAACACATCAATGTTCATCTATGTTCATCATCCGCGTGTCTTGTTTCCACTACAGTAAATTCAAACACCAGGCGCGGCCCTCGTTTCGATCCCAAAACCGTCCTTCGGTCGAGACGCCAAGTCCTTGAGCTTTCGGAGTTCCTGGAGCCGAGCCAAAATACGGAGCGACCCCAACAGAGCGACCTCAACTTGTGCGTCGGACTGAGTGATCTTCTGGAGTTTCTCAGTCCGGCTCTCAGTCCGGAGCTTGCTCAAAGGAGACTCCTTGTAAACAAAAAAACATGGTCGAACAAAACTGGAAGCGCTTTCGAATTGATGGACCACACACACACCCTTTGAAGCTGGGTCAGATTTTGGGCTTGTCAGCTGAAGCGCTCGTCGAGCCTCTTCATCAGCAGGGAAAACACCCGGCACATTCAGCCCAGTGTCAATGAAGTGAACCTCGAGGTAAACAACTATTGCCAAGAGTTGGTGGGTCGTAGTTGTAACATGTTGTAACCGCCAGTTGTTTTGCTTTCTTTTGGGGGATCAAACTCATGTATCAAAGACGATTGGTTGATTTCTGCTTGAGTTGAACAAAAAATGAACAACTGACCAAACCCCAAAAAAACTTTACTATACCTTGTTGAGTATCAAACAATACCAAAAGCATCCAAAAGCTACTCCAAAATGCAGCTGTGATACTGCTTGAACTCGTGACCACAACTCAACCTGGCGGAACATCCAAGGCCTTCTGACTGGGGCACCACGGCACCATTAAACACATCGCCATTTGTGAGCTCACTAGCATGTGCTTACATACACTGACATGTCCTAGATGACGTTTACCAACAAATCTGGACAAAGCCTCTAGCCTCTAGCCTCTCTGCCAACCAGTCTGTGAATTCCAAACAAAGCATTAAGCCTGCCTTTGCCTCTCGCATCAGTGCATTGAGAACCTCCGATGGCCAACAGGCACGCACATGCCTGCACTGTGCTTGTTAAGCCTTTCCCGTTTCAAACACCTGTGAACGGGATACATCATGAACAACATCTTGTGATGATCAGCTGCCAACACAATGAAATAGCCTGTGATGACCACATTGCATACAATTATACAATGTTATACATTATATATATACCGTATAGTAGGTTTCATAGTCTTGACATTTGGGCGGGCTATCGCGGAGATAGGAAGGCCCATAGTCTTGTCCGGCATCCTATATACATATGATGAACCTTGATGACCGGCCTGTACATATGTGTACCCTGCACCCTGAGCTCCCCCGCCGCGCCGCCCTTGCTGAAACCCAACAACAGCAGCGCAGACGGGAGCTCCTACCGTGGTCATTTCAGAGATCTTGGACTGTCCGCACGTGAGCCATGGTCTCATGGTGGATTCTTGTCCAGGGATCGATATAGCCAATGGATAAAAACTTATGGATCCATTGTGAAGGTATGATGGCTATTTTTCCACCTATGTCGAGGGATGGGTCAAGAAAAGCTGGATGCCAAATTCATGGCTGGAACTCAATAATGAGGGTGAGTCATCCACACATCTTTTCAAAACAGCGGGGGCTATCATCCCCAAGAACTCCCTTGTTTGTTGGCATGGTGGATATGAAGACTGCACCATACTAGGGCCAAGGCATAGAAGCGCTAATCTTGTCTGATCAAACTGCAAGACAAACTCGCTCGACTGGCAGATTCTCCTCACCCAGTTCGGTAGAAAGCGATCTCAACCTGGTGCCGCAACGACCAAGGACCAAGGTCTGAATCTGATGTGCAAATCAGCCGGCAGCATTCAAAGTTCAAGCTTTCGTGTCCTCTCTTCCTCTTGCCTTCTTGCCTTCCTGCCTCCCTCCTTCCCTTCCTCCCTCTCCCTCCCTCTCCCTCCCTCTCCCTCCACTCTTTCTCTCTTTTGCTTGTGACCACCAAAACCATGCTTGTGTGATGCATTTGTCATCTTTCATAGGGCTTTCGTTAGTAGTCAGGATGCCAGGGAATTCTGTGTCCGACAGGCCAAGGCAAAAATCATTCGCAATGAACCATCAAACACGTCTGGATTGGTTGTATTGGTGTTGCATCTTTGAGCCATCAAGCATTCAAGCGTTGCCTCTGGTCCTCTCGTTTCAGCAGTGTCCCTAGTTTGAAAACGTTGCAACCAACACCCCCAATTCAGCTCACAGCTCACTTCTGTGCATGCCCAAAGCAGTTACAATGAACTATATACAACAAACACCCCAGCTTCTTCAGTTCAATCAACAAGAAAACGCAGCATCTCGCGCTTTGCCGCGCCACGCGTTCGTTCAAGACAACGTGTGCCAGGATCACAGCAAATGAAGGTGCTCAACAGCCTTGGCCAGATCAACAGGCCTGTTTGGGAAAGAACCTTGGAAAACTAGGATCAGCACCTTGGCCAGATCCGGTTTGCGCCTGAGTCATTTAGACATAGTTGGGTACCCAAACAAATCACCCATGCTGGAAGAATCTGGTCTGAGAACCATCATGGTTCTTGCACATTACATACTGGTGCAAACTAATAAGCCCCAAACATTGATCGAGTCGGTGTGAGAAACTTAATCATGGGGAGGGCCCCGTAGGGGTATATTGATTAATTCACCGATTCACCATATTGACCCCTGCTTGCATTAACATGAATGGTGTTTCATCGCGTTCCTTCTTGTATTCTTAAAACACTGTTTTCTTCAGTTTTGTTTGAACACACACATGCTCATTGCATCTAATTAGGTCTGTCAGGTCTGGATGACTAGTTGCTTTGTGTAGATGCTTTCAATCACGTCTCACCTTATCTGAACTGAATGAACTAGGGCAGTTTTCTAAAAGGCTTCCTTGACCTGGTAGACTTTGACCGCATGCTGAACACGTGTAGCTCCGAAATTGAACGGATTATGTACAGTAGATAGTAGACGAGCATAGATGAGCCAAAGACTTCTTGATTCTCTACTAGTAACAAGAAGCTACTAGGGGCTCCTGGCCTTACTACTAGGAGCAAGGACTTCACTAGAGGCTCCTGGCATCGCTACTAGGAGCATTCTTACTACTAGTCAGTAACAAATTCAATTTCAGAACCTTTCCAATCCAACTTGCCACACGGCTCGCCTGCGGAGGATCTGCTTCCGCCTGAAAACATCCATTCTGCACTCCACCATGAAGAAGGACCAGTCTGTCTGCATTTTTTCTGTCTGGTTTGTGATTAATCAATCTGCATTGGATTAAGCAATTAAACCGTTCTTTAGCTGGTTCCAGTTGTTCTTGGTCAAATACGATCAAATACACTACATAGCGCATCCTTTGTCGAGGGCCGGATGGATCATCGAATCCTGGTTTCATCATGGTCTACAACCCAGACCTAGACTGTGGCGAACGTTCTTGTGGTGGGTGGCTTGACCACTGGTGATTGTTGCGACTGCGACATTGACACAGGACGCATCTGCCTGGCTTTGGGGATCTGCCAATGATCTGGGATTCCCGAAGCTGTCCACCTGCACTTGACGCGAACATCATTCCAATTTTTCAGATGGTCTCCCATGCCGTAATTCAATGTACCAGGATATATCTAATATATTAATATATTATATAATATATCAGAAAAAAAAGAAGCATGGCAATACATCAACGCCCCGTTCTTCCATCATTTTTAAAGCGTTCCGGAAGTTCCAAAAGCCAAAGTAAGCCACAGCTGAAAGTGAGGTCAACTCCCCACACCAAACCCTCAGGTCTATGTTGAAGCGACCAAAGAACAATTTTTTAAAGGAATTAATTAAAATACACATTGCTTGAGTGGACGGAAGTCTATGCCAAAAAGTCTGACCGCCACACTAGCCAAGTCCGGGCAAATTGGAAAAGCAATGTGTTATTGGGTTCAAGCGATATCTCTCATTAACACCCGCCATCGGAACTAATGTTCGCCAAAGTTAGCCGCATACTACTGATCACGAAGTGGACTTTTGTCTAGCGGCTAGAGCGGAGCCAGCGCGCAGCTAGCGCAAAAAATCGTTGGTACCCGAGTGAGGAGGACAAAAAGAAATAAATAAGACAAGTTCATTGGCGAAATCATTTGGCAACACACACACACAGACACACACCTACCAACAAATCGGGGTGATATCGAACCTGCGCTGAGCTAGCGCCAACCTAGAGCTGCCTTGCAGAATCACCCATTTGCCGCTTCTAAAGGAAGAAGCGAAACATATGTTGCCCATAAGAAAACTCGGTCCTTCTGTTTTTTGACTAGGAGCAAAGAAGCTATATTATCTGTTATCTCCTGGCATCGCTACTAGGAGCAAGGACGCTACCAGGGGCTCCTGGCCGTACTACTAGGAGCAAAGAAGCTAGGGGCTCCTGGCATTAGGGTCTTTTGAATCCATTTTGTATCTGAATACATGCAGGCGTTCGCTGGATGGCATACATGGATCCACGCACCCCTAGTAGCGTCCTTGCTCCTAGTAGCGATGCCTGGAGCCCCTAGTAGCTTCTTGCTCCCCTCGTAGCGTCCTTGCTCCTAGTAGCGATGCCAGGAGCTAGCTTCTTGCTCCTAGTAGTACGGCCAGGAGCCCCTAGTAGCGTCCTTGCTCCTAGTAGCGATGCCAGGAGCTAGCTTCTTGCTCCTAGTAGTACGGCCAGGAGCCCCTAGTAGCGTCCTTGCTCCTAGTAGGGATGCACAACTCTAGCCTGTAGATTGGTTCTGAATCCTCCTTGTCGGCACTTTCATGCGGGCCTGATTTCGTGCAATGCAATTAGCTCGTTCAGGGTCTGCACCTTCTCAACCCATGGCAGAAGGGTGCCTGCATAAAATTCACGTAGATGGCAAAGTGTTCCCTCATCATCCGCGGCTTGACCTCGTCATCCGGCTTGATTTCAGCTGCACTGGGCAGTGGGCGAAGGGCAGTGGGCGGGCCCAGCCCTCCGTCGTCCGTCGCGTTCGATGAATGAATACAGTATGTTTGCACCTGGGGTCCGAACATAAGTAGATCCTACCTAAAACCGAAAAGACCAGTTCCTATTTCCTATTAGCCTCAACTACTGAACTCTTTAAACCTGAACTGAACTACAGTATCCTTCTGCAAAGACATTTGAAGCGCATCGGCACGGGCTGTTCGTACATGTTTGGGGTACTGGATCACCTACAAAGACTCTATGAAATCGGCCATGACCTCCTTTGGCCAGGTCCCTTGCGACCAAGCAAGAGCTGCTTTGACCCACCAAGCGAATCCGAGCGACTAGGACCACATTGTCCTCGGGGAACTTCAAGGACAAGACCCAAAGCAACCCCTGCCAGCGGCCGCGAAACGCGCGCGTTCCCTTTGCGCGTTTCCGAGGTTTCTGCGATATCGTCACCATTGGCCACTGGGATTCAAAGAAATCGATCAGTACATAGGCTGCATAAGATGGAGTTGCTGTATCTGGATGCCTCTAAGCCCATGGATGGAGTTAGTTACTGCCATCGGATCCACGGATGTCAGCGGCTGGAAGGAAACATGGTTTTCGCACGGACCTCCAAGGAGTAGCTATAGGGCGCATGCTTTGATGCGAAGTCAGAGATATCCTGCAAAACGAAGAAGACGCAGACGCGAAACAACCACAACGGACAATGCGTGTGTGTTTTGGGGTGTCAAAGCAAAGAAGCAAACATACTAAGTACAATGCCATACACGATTAAACAACATACTCTGACATACTCAGTCTGACAATGTTTGGATGAGAATTCTGCGATTGAAAGATCCAAAGTCAGTGTCGAAGCGGTGAAGGACGGGAGTCAAGCAGCCAGTCCCCAGGAAAGAAGATCACCGATCGTGACGCTTGCGGCACATGTCTTACCTTGGCCACTGCTGCCTCTGCGGTCTTGGAACCTCTTCTGCTTGCAATGGCAAGTGAGTTTGCTGGTGGGGACAGCGAACAAGTAAGCATCTCTTCAAGTTTTCAAGTCTGGATGACCCCCCAAAGCTATCCCAAAGGTGAACAAGCGCCATCAAACATAGGCCTGACGGCCTGAAACAAGTTTTCCTTCAAAGCAAACCAACAAAAACAAGAAAGCAAGCACACCAACAACGGAGCAAGCAAGCAGGCAGGCACGCAACACGCAAGAAAGCAAGCAAGCAAGCAGGCAGGCAAGCAAGCAGGAAACGCAGCAGGCAAGCAAGGAAGCAAGGAAGGAAGGAATCAAGCAAGGAAGCAAGGAAGCAAGGAATCAAGCAAGGAAGCAAGCAAGCAAGAAGGAAGGAAGGAAGGAAGCAAGAAAGGAAAAGCAAGCACATCTCAATCAACCATCTTTTGAACCAGCTTCTCACATTGAACCAATCTCAGTGCCTTCACATCTTTCCCCACTTCAACTCCAATGCTCCGGACTCTAGGGCTCTGGCTAAAAGCCAGTTGAGCTTTCCAGCAAGGCCCATACAATGAAACAGTCCAACCCCTGGGTGGCTGGACACCAATCTACGGGCAATGGACTCTGATCGGATATTGGGATACATTTTATGGTCATATGGTTGCACAACATTCTCTGGGATCGCAAGACATGACTGGTTTCAGTCACGCCAAACAAGTTACTACACGCCAAACGCGCGACATGGTCCCTCCGTCCGAAACAGGCCGGAGAGACTCAAAGGCATCGCTCCAACTTTGGAAGCACCGAGAAAGTGGTTCTCCCGGAATGTTTGGGCAACAGGGTCATTTCAGAACACACTCTGAAGGCTCGCTTTAGAACACATGTACCAGCCAATCGAATGGGTGGGGTGGAGGAAGGTCCTTGAGTCACTGGGTGAAGTCGAAGTTATGCGACACTCAACTGTCAAGTATTGTCAAGTTGTCTTTTCTCTTTGAATCTCTTTGGTTTATGGAACCTGGGCGATGAAAGCAACAACTTGATAGTCAAATGTTGCCCATGATAGCAACAACTTGATAGATATTCTTGGATTGCACCGTGAGGTTGTTGGTATTTCATCTGGAACATTTGGCTGAGTGCCATAGGCCGAATACCCAGAGCCAACAGAATGGGCCTTGCAAACGAGCGAACACACGAACAGTTGAAAGCAACTCATGCTGCGTTTCGTACATGACTGGTGAACATACGATCATAATCACCAGCGACACCAGCTCGACGCTTCATGTACGGTACAGGTGTCAACGAACGAATCGTTTCATCAATGACTGAAGCAAAATGCATCCCTCCATCGCCGAGAAGTCAAGTCCCACGGGCAAATGAAGTGTCCAAACACACGTCTAATCCAGGTTGAGAAGCTATATCAGTCATCTTAACACTAAATACTAAACAGATTCGACAACATCTCCATCTGGCATGTATTTATGTGCCTGACATTGAACATTCTGCCAGGCAAATGTTGCCAGGCAAACAACAAAAAACGTAGGATATTCTTGTTGGACATGACTATTCAGAATATCGGATGCTAGAGCTGACCTTGCAATCACCGGACAATCCAAGTCCCGACATTGGTTTCAATGAAGTCCCATCATCTTACCCAAAAGGTTTTGCCAATTCTTAGATCATGATCTGAAAAGCAGCTCTTAAACCATGATCCCAAATCACATGCCTAGCAAATCGGAGCAGCTACAAACCATTCCAAACTTATCCAGCTTGAGGGGGCACATTTCAATCATGTTATATGCCATATCATGCGTAATTAGTATATATATATATACTGTATATATATATATTAATATCTATAGTATATGCGTAATTAGTATATATATATATTAGTATCTATAGTATATAGTATTGTTATACGTTCAACATCTCAAATAACTCCTTGGGCACAACCCTGTGAAGAGCTTTTGGTCTGCGGATGAAAACTCAAGGCCTCCCTTGAGATGACTCACCCAACTCCACGCGCTCCTTCGGCGTCGCGGTTCCGCGGTTCCGCACTCGTACTGGAATCACCAGCGCCGCACCGAATTCACTTCGTGCACTGTCGGATCGTGCTCTGGTCAACGGCTGTTCACGCAGCTGTTCAATGCTGTGAAAACTCAGCAGTTCCTGTGAAATCACTTCGATATGTGTGTGTGTGCATGTGTATAGGTCAGCTGCAATGATGATGTGCACGAGTTTGGGTCTTGGTAAGAAAACCAAACAAAGAACCATTGAAACATGTTTCTGACTCCCCGTCATCCTAGAATGAAAAAGAAATGCCATAAGCCTAGTTGTGAGCATCCTTTGAACCTGAAGGTCCAAGGAAAACGAGCTTCGGTGAAACTACGGGCTCTGTGCGAAGGTGATTCACACATTAGAAGGAACCATCCGCGAAGAGCGAAGTGGCTTCTCCACTTAGTCACGATACTTTTTTCACAGCTGGGTGCAACTGGGTTCCTTCAGTTCCAACTTGTTAAAATCATGTGCATTTACATGGCAACTGCCTCACTTTTTCTGCAGTTGCATCACTTGGTCCACAAACAGTTGACACATGTTGACAGCAAATACCAGTGGAGTGTTGTCATCTGAAAAGGAAGAACGCCATCATTCTTCAGTTTTCTGCGATGCAGTCCCTTTCCTTGGCAGCTATACCTTACTTTTGAAGGCATTGAGATCAAGTGAGGCCGCGCACTAGAGCAGCTCTTGCCCAGCCTATCCCTCCGATACGCTACGACTTAAGCCATGGTCGGCCAAGGTCATCCCAGGACTTCTACGACATCACCGTGTTCAACCTTTGTGGACCAAGCGAGCTGGGTGAGACAGGCTCTGAAGCACCAGTGAGCTGGCTGAAAGATCTACCCCCCCCCGGCAAACTAACATGGAGTATCATGGAATTGAGAATTCACCTGTTGTTCAAGCCATTGTCCTCTACAACTCAGTGGCTTTTGGAGTTTTATGTGGCCCTCTGCAGGGGAGTACCAACAAAGGATATGCCACTGGACATGTCGTCTTGACATCACCAGCTCAGGTGGGATCAGGCTTTTTCTGCTTCGACCTGTTTCTTTGAGGCCTTGTAATCTGGATGGGAATAGCAATTTCAGGACATCTTGCTGTAGCGCTTCTGAGAGCAGCCAGGTTGGTTTATGTGCAAAGAGCAGTGGACCTCCACCCTAGTAGCGATGGCCTCCACCCAAGAGGCATCAGGTGTTCCAGTCTTTTGGGAGCACAAACCACAGCCGGCTTCTCATCTTGGTCCAAATGACAGATGGTATCCCTTGTGCCTCACAAAATGCACCCAGTGGGTTCAATGAGTGGTCCGATGACCGCTCCAAGAGCCACACCCATCAAGCGTCCATCAGGCGTCCCACACTCAAAAGAAAACCATAGGAAAAACCGAAGTTGGTGGCGTGGATGGACGTGTTATTCTTCGTGCAGAAAACAAGAGGAAGGTAGAAAACTGCTGGCATCTACCTATCACGGGGCCAACGAGAATATAGAGAATATATGTGTGCTTGTCGTTCGGCTGAATGGACCTATCAACATGGCCCCCTGATTTCAAGGCGCACACAGCGCCGTCAAGCGCACAGCCGTCAGTCATTGAGCATCGTCAGCATGGCAGCTCCCTTCAGGGTCCAGTAGGAGGGATCCATGAGTGTTTCCACCTTGCACATCGAGATGCACACTCAGACACGGCCCGAGAAGAGAATATGGTTTTGTCACAAAATGCCAATTATCAGCACTTGCGCGAGCATCCACGGATTTTACGAAAGTGGGGAGATGTTGAGAAAACACCTAGATTTGTTCTCCTTTGTTGTAGAAGAACTACTGTAGGTGTCTAGATCATCAACAACCTTTTGCAAAGCCCTGTTCCACACACCTCAATGGCCAAGACAAAGTTGGTTGAATGGCCAGTGGTGGACAGCGTGCCCGCCCGGATGGAGGTCTTGTAAATCGGGCAGCGATACCTGAATGCGAGAATGGGAGCTGGTTGCAAGACAAGCAAAAGTAAGTGTAAGCTTGTCAAACGCATAATGCTACCTGTGAGTCTGTGAGCTGCAAGACTGTGAGTTGCTTGACATCAGTATCTTGCTTTGAGCGAGACCACACTGTTTGATCTGTGTGGTTCTCCCAGCTCCGTCCCACCGTCCCGCTCCGCTCCACTCCTTTGCCGAGACGACTCCGCATGACCGAGTGGCTTCTCATTATTGACCTTCTTGTCCTGATCAAGAATTTCGAGTCTCAGCAGGCGAACTTCACATGTTGCTTTGAAGCTACGAACGTAACTAAGGGCATCGCGGGCATCGCTAGAGTCGCTACGTTCGGGGCTCCTGGCCTTACTACTAGGAGCAATCGGACGCTACTAGGAATGGTTTCCGCGGTTCACGGACGAGCACTTCTTTTCACCGATTCTTTCGGGTCCGAAAGCACACCCGTTCCACGTGGCCCAATGGGTCGCTTCATTCGAGCCGGCTCCTCCCCGAAAAAGACCGAACCATAGTCCACCCTAGTAGCTTCTTGTTACTAGTGGCGATGGCCTCCAACCTACTCGCGATGGCCTCCACCTAATAGCGTCCTTGTTACGGGTAGGATGTAGTAAGGTTAAGGTCAAAGTGACATCAGTTAGCAAACATTTAAATTCGGAGCAATGTCGAAACCTATTATCAGTCCGTCTCTGACTTCACTGCGAGGTAGAAGCGCATGCTTTTCCCAAACAAGCTCAGCCTTCCAAGGGATAAAGTTGATGATTGGAGACTTCACGAACATGGTGCCGAACTCCTGACAACCAAAAATGCACGAAGGTAGCCTTTTGAACCTTGCGAAGAACTGAAGGTAGATCGGCGATGGAGCAAGGATGCCAAACACAATCTGAAGCAACATCGTATGATTTAGAAAGGCAGGATCAGATTTCATTGCTGACAACCACAGCTAGTAGCAAATTACATGCACATGCTTTACTGTAAGCACACATGACTCTCTCATGCGAGACAATAGACTAATATCAAAAGCGACATGTTGTTTGGGGTCCCTTTCAGAATGAAACACATCAACACATGCTGCTTGCATGTTCTGTTGAAATGGTCGCTGACTTCACGTTGGCTACGTCTGCTTGATGATATCATTGTATATCAATGTCTTGGCATATCCTTGCTGTTCCGGGCAGTTGCACATTGGGAATTGTGGTGTCGGTATATATATCAACACAACCGAGAAACCCTGGTATTCACCAAACTGAGTTCCTGGAACAACTTTAACACCACGTCAAAACACACATCCCACCTTAAAAATATGTATGCTGCCCTTAGCGAGGCGAACTGGCAGCCAACGTACACACCCTTTGATTTTGAAGGAACACGCCCCACCCTTCTGAATCACATCCTGGGCCCACTGGTTGCTCTTCGCATCTTCCGCTTTCCAGAAAAACACGGCAAAACGAGGGAAAGCAACGCTCCAATCGTTTTACGCTCCTGGTCGTCGATCGCCATGTCGTCATAGCTCCATGCCGCGCCATCCTGAGCCGCTGAGTCCAGACTCGGCGCGGAGGACGCGCGGAGGACGCCGCGGCCGGGGTTTTCCACACCGAACGAAGGGACTTTAAAACGCGTGCGCTACAAACAAAATAATCAAATACGGTGCTTGGAGGCCTTGGAGGCGCATGACTTGAGGATAGAAATAGATAGAAATAGAATATGTGCGAGTTGACGAGTTGACGAGGATACCATGATAGGAGATGGTGGGTGTGGCTCTTTTGCTTCCCTGTGATTCGAAAAGCCCCCCCCTTCCCATGTTCTTCGGAAAACGGGCTGAAGAGTCGGTGCCTGTCAGTCGCAGCCTAGAGGCCATGAAGAGCCCATGGATGTAGATACCCTCCTCCGGAGCGCCTTCCAATTCATGAGGGTCACTGGTGTCCTGACAAGCTCCCAACTCTGTTTGTACACGCGCCCAGTCGGCTGGGCGGGGCGGCTCACAGGGAGCACCAGTGGGCCAACAAATGGACCAAATGGTCATGCGACGACTTCAGTCAGTGGACCGGTCTGGCTCCACAAATGCAGAATCCACTGAACAGGGTCATTCAAAACACCAGTCTGGCTCGACATTTGTCACAGCAGCGACACATTCAGAATCACACGATGCTCGTCCTGCATCACAAATTCAAAGGACAACCTGAGTTCATCAGTGGATCGTTGAACGAGCTCAACTAGTCCGCAGTAAATTGCCAAACATGAAGCCGCACACAGAAGACCCTTCCACTTCAGTGCTGAAAAACCTCAAGTAGGCAAAACATACAATTTATGAATCAAACTACTCAGATGAATCCATTTAGCAATCTATCAATTTAGTATGATTCATCATGTATAATTATCCTATATATATATATCAATTCGCTATTAGGCCCAAAATCAACTCTTGCATATGGACTTGGCTTCCCGAGCCGGAGTGGAACAAGAGTTGAACTGGACTTGTCACCATCGGTGGAATGAAGCCGAAAAACCCCAGTCTGCGGTGTTTGTCCGATCTCGCCTTCTCCACCCAGGTACGAACACCCCACCGAGCACTAGAGTATTTCCCACTGCAGCTTGCATAGCAAGACGTTGAACATGGTCGCAGCTTGCATGGTGAACCAACCACAGACCCCAAACATCCCCAAACCATCAGTCATCTGTTTGTCGCTCAGCCGCTGATCCACCGGGATCATGTTGCTTCTGGAATAGCCCTGCAGGACGGAGGTCAGGAAGCCCTGAGGAGCCGATGCGACGGTCCTGGGCCTCGTTGGGTTGACCGCTTGACCGGTCAACCAAAACATCACACGCGCACAGCGCACAGCGTGATGTGGCATACTGTGCCCTGTTTTGACTCTCTATGGAAGGAAGTGTTTCACCTTTTCTCATCGGCCACCCGAACATGTCCTCAAAGATCTGTGGATGGATACGGCTTCGGGCATGAAGTGAACAATCTCTTGAAGGCACCAATCCATAGCAACACCGCTCAGAAACGTGTTGCAGCTTCCCCAATAAGCTACAAGTCTGGAGTCACCCCAGAAGGATTATTTGGAGGCTGCTTCCTTTACCTCAACCATGGCCTGTGGGAAGTAGAAGGACGAGATCCAATAGGCAATGGGAATGCCACCATCAATCCAATCCCTGAAGAAGGCAAAGCGCAGGATCATATCCTGACACAAAAGACCAACTACCATGTAACACACACAAGAAGCTGGAAGAGACGTGAAGGAAAACAACCTCCGAGCAATACAACATAAGACAACCGTCAATTGAAGCTACAAGTTTGCTTCTAGGTAGAAGCGCAGGACAGCTCACGCTCGCACTAATGATTTGGCTAGTATGCTACTACATATGGACGCAGGATAGCTCACGCTTCAAGGAAGCTCCCCCCGCCTGAGGGTGGGGGGAGCTTCCTTTTTTTTTTGCTCTCAAGCCGCGACTCCGAGTCGGTGGCAACCCCAGCGCATTCCGCAGCTAGGGTCACTCGTAGCCATGACTACAAAAGGTTGTCAAACGGAATGCTCCAAGACCAAGGTGTTGCTTTGGCACCTTTGGCAAACGCACGAGCAAGCATATCCAATGCAGCATTCTCAACATACACTTCGGCGCCGAGGAAAGCACCCTTCGGAAAGGTCTTGCCGTTACTCTTGTTGCGTTTGTCGAGCAACAGAGGCGCGACCACGACCCTTTTCTGCTTGCAATAGGCAAAACCCGAACGAATCAAGCTGGCGAAGGCTTGAGGCGTGCAAATGGTTCCTCGAGGCAGTTCAAACCTCCAACCACGTATAAATGCCACAACAGCCAACTCGAAGACTGAGCAAGCGAATCCATCTCCGACACGCCACTGCAAGGAGGCGCAAAAGCGTAGAAAGGTGCGGAAGTTGTTCTCCGTCAAGGTGGATGTGGCACGAAAGGGCAAATTAAGGTCAATGTCGGCCCGCCATGTAAACAAGGCTTGCGAAATGTCCCATGGCCACTTGGGACACATCTGTCTAGCAGAGTACTGAATAGCAGGCACAGGGGAGACATGACCTTTGGAATTACCGGAATCAGCAGGCTTTTTACACATTCTATTAAGCTGGCTCAACCAAAGCTGCCTGGCAAAAACATCATGCTCCATCAGGTGCAGCTCACGACTCGTCTCGTGTGCAAGTTGGGCAATATGCTGCTTAGCACAGTTGTCAGCCAGTCTATTGAGAATGATGTCCTGACGAGAAGACCCAGCTTTAGTTGCCAACTCTTCCGTGAGTGCCTGGCTAGGAACGTGTTCCAGCAAATGAGCAGGGCACCAAAGCAATTGCAATGGAGAAGGGTGAAGCTCTTTCCGGTGAAGAAGCTGATCCAAAATGAAGCTCCACCAATTGGCATGGGTCCATTCAACCTGGACTGTCTCAGTTTGAAGCAACACCAGAAACTGCTTGACGATGGTAAGGGAATCCGTGTGGATACCAACGGCTGTTCTGCTCTGGCAAAGGCGACCACAATGGCCCAAAGCTCAGCTGAATAGCTGGACAGGCGCCAATGGCGGACCCGACCAACTGCTAAAATAGATTCGTCAGCCGCAATGACAGCAAAGGATGCGATGGTCAGCCATGGATAGGTTGTCAGTTGCACGGAGCCGTCCGTCCACACGTGTTGAACCTGCTCCTGCACAGCCGTCCACTGAAACACAGGAACCTCCGAAATGCTGGACACTTGCAGTTTATCACGTATAGTGTCCAAAGGAAGCTCAACAATGCCCAGTGTGCTGAAATTAGGGCCGAAGAAGAAGTTGGTCGAAGGTTGCCGAACCGCTTCTGGCAAGGCATCACACTCGTATACAAAATGGCTCACGGATTCCTTGGGAGCAGAGCAAAAGCGGCAATTGGCTTGGTCAACCAGCTCGGCTGCAGCAAGCCTGTCGGCTGTCAAAGTGCAACCTGTCACCGCACTTTCCCAAAAGAACAGGAAGGAAAAACCCTCATGAGGAATAGCAGCTAACCTCTTCTTTGCCGAAAGCGTCATCGTAGTGTCAAGGAAACCAAGAGCCGTACTGATGTCTTTCCTTGGCATGAGGCAGGCAGTATGGTAGCATTTGTTTGCAGCCAAACTCTTCAGCAAACATTTCAGGTCAGGAACCGAGAAATCCAGAAAGTTGACAGGCGCAGACCCAAAAACCGAAAATTCAAAGGTGTGGACCCACTCAATATCCAGGATCTGGCAGGCCTGACTGAATTGCGTCATCCATGCTTGTGCAGTAAGTTGGTCTTGTTCAAAAAGCTGCGCCCATTGCTGCCGTGCAAACACGGAATATTGCAAGAAGCGAACCGATTCAGCAATTGTTGTGACCGCACGACAGAGGAATGGATCCAACTTGTGGGCCTTGTACACAATGCAAAGAAGGAGATGCTTCGACCGCCATCTAGGTCTGTCTTGCCACAAGGAGTCCGCCACAGCACTTTGAAGGCGGGCCAAGGCCCGCTTGGGGATAAAGTTCAAATGCGGCGCAAATGCAATCTGCGGCAACACTTTGGTGGCCAAGATCTGAGCTCGCTTGTAGCCATCACAAGGCAAGGTGCGAATAACCTCACAATCTCTGAGAGCTGCCTGTATCTTGCAAGCAGGAAAGGAACCAACATTCTTCTTGGTCGTTTGCACAAAGGCTCCCAAGATGTTCACCACCTCAACCAGGCGCATTTCCGGAAACGCAGCTTTCAGTGCACGTCGGAGGTCTGGAGTGGTGGCAAAGACCTCACATTTGCTTGCATTGAGGAATTGGCCACAAAGAGAATCCCACAATTCGGTGGCTTTGACGGCGGAGACAAGACCCTCAATCATAGGTTGCCGCGACCACAAGTATGTGTCATCAATGAAGGCACGGAAGTCCACTCCCTCAATATGCTCCATCAGCCAAGCCCAAATGGCCATATGGAGATTGATACAAAGAAGGCTGAGCGAACAACCCTGCACGACGCCGTTTGGCGTGGAGATCGGAGCAGCTCTGGTCCATTGTTTGAAGGAAAGGAAACGCGTCATCCTCAAATAGAGGCATAGAAAAGCTCGCACGAAGCCCGTTGGAAGGCCCAATGCCAACATAATTGCAGCACAAAGCTTAGGCATCAAACGGTCAAAGCATTTCGACTTGTCGAGCTTCAAGGCTGCAAAGTGGCCTTGAAAGCTGTGCGCATGATCGATCTCAAGCTGCAGCGTCATGTGTACCTCCGACATTTGGCGCATCTTGATACCTCCTTTCAGCTGCGAAGGCATAATCTGCTGTTGCCAGCTTTGTAACTGGAGGAAACGCAGGCCGGTGTATAGGAGAGTGAAAATGGACTGTAGGGCAATCAGCCTTTTTGCCAGCGGAGCGTCGCTTCCATCCTTGTTCAAAATGATCACACGCACCTGAGTAAGGATCACCGGGAACTCAGAGTATCCAGCTTCAATATCGTTGAAGAGGTCGGCAACAGGTTGAAAGGCAGCAGGTGGGAGAGCTTGAACTTCCCGCGTACGCCACCCATCGAGACCAGCTGCCGCTTCAGGTTTCCGGCGCAAGGCTTGTTCCCAAAGTTGTCGGGCTGTGACAGGCGGCAGGACAACAGGGCGAGCTTTGTCATGAATATAGGGCCAAACTTGTTTCAGGATCTGCATTTCATGCTGGTGACTCACATTCACTGAGAAAACAGCATCCCACTTGTTAGCAATCACATCCATTGCAGTCTGCGGATCGAAGACAATATTCCCAGAGTCATCCTCAATGAGATTTTGCGGCACCACGCGGCCTTTCCTCTTGAGGTACTGGTAGACAACTTTCCCTATCGTCAAGGAGGTGGTAGCATTCTTCATTGCTTGTCTCCACTTGCGAATGGCAGCAAGTTTCAATTGCTGTAGCTCCTGGTTGATGGCTACCAAAACAAGCTCCGCCACATGGTGCAAATCCTGCAGGAAGAGTGTTTTCACAGCCCCTGGGACAACTTGTGCTTCTTTCAATCTGCGGAGCAGCCGTCGCTGGGTGTTGAGTAACGTATGGTAGTCCGCAGTGCCAGTGCACGGTCGACCGAGACGAACTTGAAGCTCTCTTAGGGATCGAAGGCATGCCTGCAGCAACTGAAGCCGTGGCGAAGCCACACTGCCATTAGCCTCCTGCGAAGTAACCATGGTGGTTTTGCAGAACTTAGGAAGGCGGCCCCGCACTCGCGGACCTTTCTCCCAAGTAGCCCCATTCACCAGCAGCACATGCATGGCAAAATGATTGAAGATCGACCATCTTTTGCAGGGGTCGGGCTCGTTGGAAAAATCTTGCTCATGTTGTCGCCACATCTGTTCAGCTAAGGTGTTCACCGGACAGGCAGGGTCAGCCACATTACAGGTCGCGACATGTGTAAGATCCAAGGCAGCAGACCGTTGCATGATGGTACCAACCTGAGCAATACGATCCCAGGCAAAGGTTGCTTGGACAGGTCGATGTTGGCGGTCTCTGTGGTCCAAAACCTCAATACGAATCAAGGCTGCGAGCGCTGTGCGGTTCATGAGAATACCGTCAATTGAGGATTGCCCTTCATCAACAGAAGCCGCATGCTGAAAAAAGGTGCAAGGCCGAATAACCTCTCCAGTACTGTCGGTCTGGAGCAGGGGGTCCGCCCATCCCCAGTGGTCCAAGGCGAGTTGCACAGAAGGGTACATACCCGGCTCCATTTGAAAGTCGCCTGCAATGACAATGGGGATATCAGCAAATTGGGATGCGACCATAAAGATCTGATCCAGCAGCTCATTGTTCCGCTCAAATTTAGGTCGTTCAGACGCAGCATTGACAACAGCATAGAAGTTGAAAGCCAACAGCTTAACACTTGCAGATACCTGGTGCCAAGTAGCAGTGACCCGACAAGTGGCACGAAGGATAGACCAAGCTCCAGAAACATCCATTTTGTCCTCAAAAATCTGCGTGAGTTCTTTGTGAGCGCAAGTGGCAACACCGCCAGAAGGAATCCTGAAAGTGCCGTTACTAGCGCGCAGTTTGTGCAGAGGTTGCGAACAAAAAAGGCCAAAGTTGCAAAGAGCAGCTTTCCTCTGCGACTCGGTCATGTTGGAATCGGCCACTCTGGCTTCCTGCAGCATGAAAGCATCTGCATTCCATTGTAAGCAGCTGGCGTTGGTGGCAAAGGAGTCGATGTTCGCAGAAATAATGGACCAT